CGCCAGCGCCCGCCGCCCCCGCCTCCGCCTCCGCCTCTGCCGCCGCCGCCGCCGGCCGCCGAGGGAAGCAGCGCAAGGACAAGGGCAAAAGCAAGGGGAAGCCCGGCAAGGCTGGCAGCGACTCCAACTCCGACAACGCGCACGACATCATTGTAAGTACACATCTCTTCTGACGAACTTAATACTCAGAAGTTCTGTACAAATCAGTTCGTAATTTTAATGATAGGAAATATCCCAAAAATTAAACGGAGCTCAATATGGACACAACTGTTGATCGTTACATCGCCTATTTCGTAAATATTTCTTTAATAATCTTGAAAAAAAGCAAATCTTCGAAACTTCTATTTTGCAGAAACATTCAATTTAGAGAACTAAAATCCTGAACAAATACTTATTACGCCTTCCTCAGAAAATTCGCACGCCTCTACCCAGAAGAGTGAATACTTGGCAAATTCTAGTATTTTTGTAGTAGTTATGAGCCGTCTTATATGTATGATTATCTGTCTTTTAGTGATTTTTTGTAAAAAAGTGTAAATTTAGTTAACCTATGTCTGAAGGTATTACAATGAACGAAATATTTTGATATCGACGGTGCCTGTGCGACATTTGATATTCCAAACCAGACGCAAACGCTTGCGATTACATTTGACATAAACTCAATTTATATATTTTTATTATTAGTGACATTTCTTACATTTTTTGTGATACATAGTGTATCACACAAACAAATAACACATTAAAAATATCGGCTCCTTGTCTTAAAAGAAGAAATTGTTTACAAAACACTAATACAAACTTTATACAGTTTGTTCACAACACATGCGCTTTGTTTCGGGCGCAAAAAGCATGGTTCACAAAAATATTAATGTATTGGATCTCACGTTTCTTAGTAGTACGTGTGCCGCAAAACATTCCGGCTGGATTCCCCGTTTGAGGTGGCTCAGAGCTTCACCTAATGTTACTGCCGTGCCTCTCTTCGTCAGGTCCTAGTGTTCAAGCCCCGGTATTGACAGATTTTCGACTCTTCCTACTACGTATTCGATCGAAGACAGTCACTGTCTCTGGAAAAGAATTAAAGCAGCCGGCTGCTGCGATCGATAGTTTTCCGTAGTTTCGCCGGTCAATATCCGGCGAATGCCGGAGCAGTACCCCAACAAACAGACCACTGATTGCATGATATATTTCCTCCTTTTTTCTTACCCTTCTTAATTACACACACTACATTTTCATGCGCTACAGTACCACACATGTCGAAGACCAGTCAGGAGCATGTCCCAGCTGAAGAAATTCTTCGCTTGTGGCAGATACCAGAAAGAGGAAAACCAACTTGTAGGTCTGCACTGAATATTGCCATCCAGCTAGGCACGATCACCGCCACCTCCTGCAATAAAACTTGCACTACACTTACGGTCCTACGTTTTAGCAGCGTAAAAACATGAAATAGTCAGTCAAACAAAACAACCAGATTCTCACTTACGAGTGCGTCAATTTGGAAAAAAATATTCCAAATCCTCGGTGCTAACAGTTGTTGTCTGTCCTGCAGATCGGGTGCGTGGGCAAACGCACGCAGTACACGGTATCCGGGTTGGTGCCGGGCAGGCTGTACCACTTCGACCTGTTCGCCGTGAACCGGCGCACCAACCTGAGCTTGGCGTACGGCAACGCAGAGCTGCGGTTCGACGCCCGTGCACGCCCCACCGCCCTGCGTGACGCGCGGCCCGCCACCGTCAACCTCAAGAGCCTCGACGGCCGCGCTGCCTTCCGCTTCAAGGTACTCCACTCTACATTCCCCTCTACTTGTCTTCTTCCTTGGCTTCTCCTTCCTCCCGCCCTGCGCCACAAGTAGCCTCCCTCCGTTAACCTCAAGAGCCTCGACGCCTTCCGCTTCAAGGTACTCCACTCTACATTCCCCTCTACTTGCTCTTCTTCTTTGGCTTCTTCTTCCCCCCGCCCTGCGCCACAAGCAACCTATCCCCGTCAAGAGTTTAGATGGCCGCGCCCTAACCGAACTCTAACCGAATCCTAACCGAACCCTACCCTAACCCTACCCTAACCCTACCCTAACCCTACCCTAACCCTACCCTAACCCTACCCTAACCCTACCCGAACCCTACCCGAACCCGATACCGAACCAAACCCGATACCGAACCAAACCCGATACCGAACCAAACCCGATACCGAACCAAACCCGAAACCGATACAAACCCGATACCGAACAAACCCGATACGAACCAAAAACCCATACCCGATACAAAACCCGATACGAAACATACCCGATACCGAACCAAACCGATACCGAACAAACCGATACCGACCAAAACCCGATACCGAACCAAACCCGATACCGAACCATAACCCCGATACCGAACAAGACCGATACCGAACCAACAACGATACCGACCAAAACCGATACCGAACCAAAACCGATACCGAACCAAAACCGATACCGAACAAAACCGAACCGAACCAAAACCGAACTGAACCAACCGATACCGAACCTAAAACCGATAACCGACAAACGAACCGAACCAAAAACCGATCCTCGAAACCGAACCGATTCCTGAAACCGAATCGATCCGAAACCGAAACCGAACGAAACGCTAACCGAACTCCGAACTGAACCCGAACACTAACATGAAACCGAACCCAGCCGAATCCGATCCGAAAGCCAACCCAACCCGAACCCGAACGAACCCTACCCCAACTACTGAACCCGCCGAAACTCCAACCCGATCACCGAACCCGACACGACCACACCTGACACGACCCGAAAAACTACCGAGATCCGACGAACCCGACTCGATCCCGACCCTCAACAAGAGACCCGACACGAACCGCACCAAACTCGAAAGCCACCCGACTCGAAACCGGTGGCTGCGCCCCAATTCGCAAGTACCTCGTACCCTGCTCGCGGCAGGTGCCGCGTCGGCGCGCGGGGCCGCGCGGGCGACCTGCTGCTGTAGCTGATGCGTGCGGCGGCGCGCCGTGGACGTGCCGCGCGCAACCCGTGCAGCAGCCGCGCCCTGCGCCCCGCCAACGCCACTCCCGCAGCGACGGCGCCAGCCGACGGCGCAGCGGAGGGCGCCAGCTGCGGAGGCGGGGCTCCGCGTCGCGGGAGGTGGCGCGCGTGCGGGTGGAAGGGTACGCGGCGCTGCGCGTGCCGGCCCCGCCCCCCGGCGCGCGCCTCGTGCTGCGCGCCGCCACCCCCAACGCGGAGGAGCTGCGCCGCGTCTCCGCGCTCGAGGTGCGCCGCCCGACCACTCGCAAAGCACTGCGCGCACTACCTTGCAATTGATTGATTGATTGATTGACTGGTTCTTCAGTGCTTTCGGGAGCGTCAATTACTAATATGATTTCATTCGTAAGTGTACTGCATGTTATGTTTCGGGACGTGAATGTAGCAGTGCGCGCACCACGTTCCAATTGATTTATTGCTTGATTGATTGACTGGTTTTTTAGTGCTTACAAGAGCGTATTTACTAAGATGATTTGATTCGTAAGTGTACTGCATGTTATATCCCTGGACGTGGATGTCATCCTCTCCGTTGGAATAACAGATCCGGTAGCCGAATAATTGATTGAGTGATTGATTGATTGATTGATTGAATGATTATTTTTTGGAGTGTCAACTATTCAGGTCGGGAAGTGACGGTTTTCTTTCCTGCTGGGATAGGAGGAAATCAGGCGGCAGATTGATTGACTGAATTATTGATTCATATATTGTGTTTCCGTACGCACCAATTGCTATAATTGTCCCGTAATAATCCGTAATAATCCCGTTAGTGTAGCGAATGTTTTATCCAGGTAGGTAGCGCTGTTTTTTACCCCATTGGAAAGTGGAAACCGGCGCCAATTCATTCTTCGATGCCCCAGCTGCGTCAAGCTCTAACCTCTTCACTGGTGTTCCAACATTTGTGGTAGTGAGGTGCATGTGAGGGAAGATGATGGGAAAAAGATGAGGAAATATAGTTCGCGCGTAAACCGTGGAGCGCTTATTAGAGCACAGCTCCGGCATTCGCCTGGTATTCATCGCAGAAATCGCTGGAAACTGCCGAATAGAGCGGCTGGCCTCTAGAATTCCCCTCCAGACAGCGGTTACATTCGACGAAGCTGCCTTCCTAGAGAAGAAAATCTGCCACCGTCGTAACTTGAACCCTAGGGACTCCCCGACAGCAACATTGCAGATGCGATAGAAATAGATAAATACATAGCTAACGTGCAAGAGTGTATAATAGCGAATGTTGAAGTGAAGTGGGTGTTAATTTAGTCGCTTCAACACACTTTTCACATATATTTATTACCTTTTCTATACCTTTCAAATTTTTGTTTGCAAAATGGTCAAAAACTGCTTTATTCACCCTTTAGATGTTGGTGGGTGCCCAATCGGAACTATATCGTGAATGTTTTAACCCCTTAAATCCATAGTTCTTTACAACACTGTTTGCAATCTGAGTATTAACCTCAGGTGCGTTGTCATGGCAAAGCTTAATACCACATGACTTTACGCATCGCATTCATCTCAAGTCCCTCTCTCCACAAAACTGAGCGGAATGTCGGCTGCATTTCGTCACAATTACAGATAATACTATAAACTGGAAAGGGCTTCCATGGATGAGCGATGTCTTGGCTTTGCGGGAACCCGCTTGGTTTATTCGTAATAGTGAGTCCATGAGGGACTTTAATTAGTTAAAATTTTAAATGAAAATGGACAGATTTAGTATCTACTAATTTTCATACACACATTTATAGACCCTTTAGGAGAATATGAAACAACATATATTAATATTTTCCATTGTTGTCCAATACAAATTCGAGAAAAACAATCTACGGAAACAAGTTTGTGTACATTCTTACGTGTAGATATGGCAGTCAATTATCTTGCTGCGTCAACAATAGTTTAATGATCCAATTTATCTCTAGAGTTCCGGAGTAGATACGAAGAAAATTAAAACTTCAATTATAGATAACACATTCTTCTTTCACAATACTTTATATGTGATAACGGGCAAAACTCATTAGTTAGTTTTAAAGAATTTCTTTTCCTCTCATGATGGACTCCATTGAATTTAAACATAAGTTTAAGTCGCCCATCAAATCTAGTGGATTAGTGGGCGCTGCTGTACTTTGAATTCGATTTCGAATTTGCGCATTGGCAGAGATTCAAACGTACAGTCGATTGCTGTACACGAAGTTCCTAATTAACCATTCTTGATTTATTAGGAACTTAATAGTCAGATCTAAATGAGAGCTTGTAAAATAATAGTAGTAATAATTATAATAAAAATAAGCTTATCCAAGAGCATACATCTTGAGAAGACCGATTTATTGAAAAGGCACGATAGGGTGTGTAGTTTCTTCCACTGCAAGAAATGTAACGCCCCCGAAATTCGAAGACTCACCGAAACCGCTGACGTGTGTTGAACCGACTTCAATATTGTACGACCAACAAATTTAAACTATTCGCATGATAGCGACAAACTGGGTATTGTTATCCGGGATTTGGAGAAATAACGTGACTGCTTGTACTACTCGTAGTACAAGCAGTCACGTGCTGTGCTGTGCCGTGCCGTGCGATCAAAACGTCGTAACCAAGGAGACAGAGAAATGTCTTAAATACGAGAGTCTGGAAATCGAGATCAGCCGAATGTGGATTGTAAAAGCACAAGCCGTCCCGATTGTTACCAGCTCCGGGAATTGTTCCGAAAAGTTTGTGTAAAAACTTGGCTAAATTCTTAGCTAAGTCAAAAGACTGGGAATGGGAACAGCTCATGTTTTGCACTAATGGGAACAGCTCATGTTTTGCGCGAACTATTCTGAAGGTACCGAAGTCCTTAATAATAATAATAATAATAATAATAATAATAATAATAATAATAATAATAATAATAATAATAATAGTTAGAATAAGCTTATTCAACAGCGTCCTAGCAAAGACCGAATTATTGCAAAAGCACGATACGGTGTGATCCTTTTCTTTTATAGTCCACGTTTCTGCAGCATGTGTTACAACTGACCTAATCATTGTCTCGTACAGTCTTTACGTCTTTCCATAACATTTTTCTTTTAAACAGCTGCAAATGTGCAAAACACGCACTGTTTTCCTTTACTCTCCTTGCTTTTATTTCTTCATTCACATAATTGGTGCAAGTAAAAATTGCTCCTAGATACTTATAAGAACTCACTTCGTCATAGCTTGTATTGGTAATGTGAATTGGGATTAATTGACTATTGTAGAAATCACGACCGATATAAACGTTTTTTGTTGTTTGTGTAGTGTTAATTAATGAATCAATTTACTGAAATGTTTGTTGTCCTCATGCACTGTTCATTTGTCTTTAAACTCTAGCTCTGATGAAGAAATTAAATATTTCGAAACGTTGGCAGAACTAATCGTTTCTTTACCCACACTGACCAATCCCGTGAAGCAATTTTATTATGGGGTTAATTGTATAACTTTGGCCTTACATCTCATGTACTATGTGAACATTTTGTGTGTACACTTTGAACCTAGACCCCTGAATTGTATGTGTGTGTGGGTGGGTGCAGGTGTTCGCCACCACCCGAGCCAGCCGGTTCCCGTTCCCGACGCTGCCCACGCCCGCCAGCCTCCACGAGTACGACTCTCTGCGGCGCTGCGACTCGCTGACGGTGGGCTGGCTGCCCTCCACCGCGCCGCCCGGCTGGGCGCACGACGACACGTACGTACGCCTGTGGAGCGGCTTTTAGCGAATGGACCCTTTTGACAGCTAGCGCTGCTAACATAGACGATTCTCT